GGAAGCATGGTCATGAATACGAGCGCAGACGCAAAGTCCGGCCTGAAAATCCGAGCAAACGAATAACAATAAAGAAATCTATTAGAATAGCAAACTTCCACTCTGCCATAGGCAATTCTGGAAAACACACACTAACTACCACATGTTGATATTTCTCCCTGGGGAAGGACCAAAAAGAAAGTATCCTTGCCCGTAGTCGATTTCTCGACCAAGAATCTTTTACCTTGAGCATGGTCCAGTGACACATCAAAAATAACGTTTTTGCAGCAAAGTTTCGCCAAGTAAATCTACTCTTACTCGCAGAGATGTATTTTCTGTCAATATCATTTTGCCCAGACAATATATTTACTTGCGAGCGCAAGAGGTTGTTGGCCGACCTAGTCAAAATGATCATTCCAATATCCTTCGTCTCTGTCGGTATTTCGTCAGCATTGTTACCTGCTGTTGTGTCTGGCTACGAAAACTTCAGAGTGAGGTCCAAGGCAAGACTAGAAGAAGAATATATAAGTCAGCAGAAGATCCCTTCACCTTGATTACTAATCCCTATTGCAACTTAATTGATAGCGAGCCGGTGGTCGAAGTGTGTGTGATGCGGGTCAGTAACTGTCACTGGTGATGGGTTCGAGCGAGAGTCCGAAAGGTCAGGCGAATCAAGCTCTTATTCCAGCGATCGCTTTTACTTCTTACTAATGTTCACATCGTATGGTGCTTATAAATACAACACAGGAAAAACAGCGGAAATGCTCATGTTTATGATACCGCGTGTTCCGTTCAATACACATAAGCAGGTAATAGTTGTGCGGCATCACACACTTCAGGGGTATATTGGTAAAACGGTAGTGCTTACCTTAGAAGGATCCTTACACCAGAGAGGCTCAACAACGTTTAACTGCTTGCCGTTTAGATACACTGGCACTCCAATGAAGTTGCTGTATTTTCGAATAATAGACTGAACAACCGGCTCCTTGCAAAAGTCAGCCGCGTCTTCTTTGAGATGCAAGACTATTTTCGTGCCAGGAGAGACGTTATCAGCCTTTCCTATTTCGAACGTTCCTGTGATTCCCTTCGAGTTCCAAACATGGCCACCAGTAGCATAACTTTCAGGCGAACTTTGGCTGCGCGAGAAAACCTCTACCTAGAAAACCAGACCCATAAAAGAAAAATTATTCAAAATTCCACAGGGCCGTCATCTTAAAAACCTTAAAGGCAATGACGGAAATAAAGAAGTAAACAGAGCAATGAATCAAGACTTTCAAATAAGCAGGCAAAAAAGACCTCATAGTTAAGCGTACTTCGTCGGCCACCATAAAGGCGGCGTAAAAGCCAACTCCAAATCGTCCGATTATGTTTGCGGAATCGGTAGCTGATTTGGGGTCCGCTTTCATTCGTGACACATATTCGCGACTTCCCGACTTTGCAATTGTGCCCAGGTTAGTCTCCATTTCTTCGGCTGTCATTCCAATGCCATTGTCTTGAATAACTAGGAGACGTTTTTCCTCGAATGTCTGAACGTGTATTTCCAGAGGTCCTTGGCCAGGAACAGCAGCGCCGCTTGTTTGGAGGAATTTTAGACGTTCAACAGCATCGCTGGCGTTTGAAATTAATTCCCGGATAAAAACCTACAAAGCACACTAATATTTGAGGTACCCAGTACAAAAACAGATCAATGAGACACAGATTTTGAAGTAATTATTTTAAACCAACCAGCACGAAGTTTCTTGAGATACCACTAAGAGGTCAACGTGAATGCGCCTTAAAAGGAAGGATCTAGACGAACGACCATAAAGGACCTGTGAACTTTGTCTTACGGGAATATGTGACTTTGGTAAGTCTGTTCCATGATCCCATGCGAACTGTTTAACGTCATTAACTCATTCGCATGCCAAAAGACGTCGGGGAAGATTGTTGTGATTAAAACGCCGTAGCGCAGAACACCAGTGAGCCCAACTTACCAGCGTTCAACTCGCATATACCTTAGTGACTCAGAGCTGAGGACAGACTATGCCGATAGAATGAACGGAAAGGCCGCTAAAAATGATAGGCCCCTAGCGTCAGCAACGGAAAACACATTGAGGACAGGCACGCTCAACAGACACAAAAAGTAGGAATGAAGGATTCTAGTCCATAAGCAGTGGCCCAAAGAGTCTGGGAAAACGGTATTTTAATGATTATTTGTCAGTTTGGTGACAAAAGCAGACGTATATTGGGGGTGGGGGGGGGGGGG